GGGGGGGGGGGGGGGGGGGGGGGGGGGGGGGGGGGCGTGCGTACAGGTACAACATGTGCTCTGGCGTCGTCACTGTCTTGGGACCAGGTAAACAGTCAATAAGCCATCAAGAGCCGCCTGTTGCTCTTCCGACTGTGGCAGCTATACAATCCAACCTCCGCATCCTCATCGCAACCTAGAGATGGGCTACGTAATCGTACAGAGATTGGCAGAGTGGCCGTGGCTGGATTTTGGATGGGGGATGGGCAAACGCCTGCACGCCACTGTTTGTGGTGTTTACACGATGTTGCAGTAACCGTGGTGGAGTGGTTGCATTTTAGAAATCAATTAGAGCAGCTCCGCCCCACCAGAAGCAGCAGCAGCAGCAGCAGAAGCAGCGGAGGGAGGACTGGGCAGAAGCAACAGACAGCAACAACAAAGGCAGCGCAAATAGTTGGATGAGTTTGTTGATTTTATCGCCATTCACCCTTGGGGCTTATGGGGTATGGAGATTATATGGCTCTTGTTCATGTTTTTCCATTGTAATCGTTCGTTTAGAAAACCCAATTAAGTGGAAAATCGATGCAGAAAAGCGCCAATACAGGTCATGTACATATTTACATACTATGTATGTATGTATGCATGAACATATGTTAATACGTACATACATACATATGACACATTCCTGGGCGATAAGCCAGGGACTTCTTGTACACTTTTGCAAGCACACTATGCCACCTCACACGCGTATCAATAAGTGAGTCACATGGCGGACTTTTAATCTCCAGAGATAGGGAAGCAATTTCCTGCAAGTACACCCGGCACTGGCCTCAATCGGCTCAATCGACTCATTCCACACCTGTTCTTATCAATCTGAAGAACAATGCGGTGTCCGCTCCGCGGTCGGATGGCTGATCGGGCTAATTGGATTTGGGCGATAAGCCGACCATAAGCTATAAGCCGTAGGCTAAGCCACACTAGACCTGACCACTCGACCACTCTTTAGTTCAGTCCATATCCGAGCACCGAGCATCGATCGCCTCATGCAGATCATACAAATTGGCTTCTGGCCGTGCCTCTGTTATCTACACGTACCACTGGATATGGCTGGGAGGGTGTGTGTGTGTGTTTGCACTCGAAATTCGCGTCACGTTTGGGGCGCACTTGGGGCGATTATACAATGGATGGATTGCAAGACCGAAGCACGGGCTGCTATGGTTTTGGTTATAGTTTATGTTTTTGGCCCTTCAATTACTAACATCCCATACATATGTACATAAATGTGTATGGATGTACGAGTATGTGTGGCCTACCCCGATTATCTAATCATAAGCACTCGACACTCACACTCACAGCAATCAGCACGATGAAGTAGTCGCGGGTCTTCTTGGCCGGTATTGTTTGGATCGTTATTTGGGTATTATTTGGCAACAGTTTGTTGCTGATCGGTTGTTCCGGTTGTAGCCCGATGCTCTGCCTTGGACGCTTTTAAGCCAACTGACGGCTGGTTGGATGTGCGTCTGAACCTTATCAGGGCGGGCGGGCAATGGCGACAAACGACAATAGCAACGGCAACGGGAAACGAAAACGACAACGTCAACGATACGACGAAGCTGAATCGATCAGTGAGCGCACGAGTAAAGCGATTATACGGCTAAACGATGAATCATACCAAGTACCAACTGGGAGAGCACGCCCTGAAGGGAGACCCACAGAGAGAGATAGAGAGAGAGATAGAGAGAGAGAGAGAGAGAGAGAGAGAGGAGTATCGGGAGAGAAGTGAGTCCGAATATCGTTTAATAATTTGCACTTCGTTCTGCTCGAGGCTTATCAAAAACTTCGTCCGGTCGTGCGCCGTGCATCGAGCGGCGTGAGTCGCGTGAGTGGACGAGAGTCAGCGGCACGTCAACGTCAACCCGCTACTTGAACCGTTGGCCAGCGTGCCAGAAATCCAACTGAAGGCCCGGCCTGCTGCTGGTGGACCCGTGTTGTGCCCCGCGTCAAACTTGAGCTTGCATCCAAATAGTGTACAGAGATACCAAGACACACAGAGGAAAGCATGGAGAGAGATTTTGTTGTTGTTGTCGAGGTGCTGCACGTCGCCATCTTCTGTGGCGGCAACAGTTGGCTGATGTAACAGAGCTCGCTGGCTGGCCATTTCTATGCATTCGTTTGGCCATTCGTCGGCCAACCGCTGGCTCTGGCTCTGTGGGCTATTAGAGCTGCTGCCAAAACCACTTTCGCTTTCCGGGCCATTTCTGTGTCTTTGGGCTTGGCTGTGTGTGTGTGTCTGTGTGTATGTAAGCGAAGCGGAGCGCTGCCCACTGTTCAGAGAGTGGGGTAGTAGAGTGGTGGGGTAGTGGGGTGGTAGACGCCACTCGGAAGCAGCAGCGCTGCTTGCAAAACTGTGCCACATGCAACAAGTGTGCGGAATACCCTCCCTTCCCCACCCCTACGAGACCCGAGACCAGTCTGCGCCGCGTGCGCTCATACTCGTGAACAGAAAAGAACTGAACAGACAGAGAAAGAGAGAGAGAGAGAGAGAGAGACAGCTGATGTTTTTGGTTGCAGCTCAAAGTCGAGGAACCGTTACCTGCTGCATACTTCCATACTTGAGACCTAATTTGTTAACTTGACTGGTCAATCAACCGGCCCGCCGGTATGGGTCTGGCTGGCCAACGACAAAACTTGGCCAACTGGAATTACTCTTTTAGTATGCCTATCCGCCCCTCTGTCTCTGTCTCTGCCTCCACTTTCTTTTCGTTCGATCAGAATGATTCGTTTCTGTTCTCTCATAATGAAATGCAAATGTGACCCTTGGTGGCACGAACCCAACTGCGTCGTCCCCAACTGGGCTGTAGTTGTAGGCCCTTATGGTTCGTGACTGTACCGCTAACTGACTTTTGCCCGTTTGAGATAGACTATCTCCACGAGTATTTGCTGGAAATGACCGTTTTCCGCCTGTTAGCATCATCTTTTCGACATGTGTCGCTGAGACAATGTCTATGGACAAATTGATAAACAAACTAAAGTCGACTGCACGAGGAACCTTTGGATCGGATATGCAACCAACCCCACACGCAACAACTGAGACCCAAAGGAGCAGCCCCAACGAAAGGGACGGCTCCCGAGATGTACTCCAATGATATGGATACGCTCCTCCAAACGTGGGGAGGAAATCTTAGAGTCGTGCAATAACTTATGCCAACAATCCATCAATTAACTCCATTCGGGGACAAATATAAATATGTATGTCTACTCATCGCACCTTCGGACGCGGGCAGCACAGGCAGAGTCCGTCGGTTCCATTTTCAAAGTAAACAGAACCGAGAAGCGAGAACCGAGAAGCGAGAACCGAGAACCGAGAAGCGGGAAGGAAGAAGCGCTGGGAAGCAATCAAATCATTAAGTCGAACAAATAACACCTTAAAATTCCCCTGCATATTGGGGTTCAGAGTCGTTAGGTTTACCTTGACCCCAGCCATCAGCGTTCGAGTATATGTCCAAAAGTCATTCCGTCTAGGCTGCCACCGAACGAACAACTACTGTGGGTGTGCAGGTTTTATGTATGTATGAATGGGTACATATGTACAATGTACATATGTGTGAATATGAATGCAAAATTGCTCGAAATTTGAAAATAATACGCGAAACGGGTCAAAGTCAGAGAAGTGCGGGGGAAATTGCACAAATCAACACTCCAACGCTCAATACTCGAGACTCAACGTAAATTACCTTTCTTACAAAACGGAAATAGTAGCACGTAGTCGTAGTCGTAGACCATACAACCAACCCCCCCCCCCCCCCCCCCCCCCCCCCCCCCACCCCCCCCCCCCTCCCCCCTCCCTCCACCCACAAACCAAATGAATTTCATGGTCAAGTTGCGCAGCAGCTAGAGACATCTTTCGTACATACATATGTACATGGATGTAAATGTATAAATGTCCACAGTAAAATCCCCCTGGAGGTATAGTCCTGGTCAATGTCGTATAGATGGGTAAAAAGAAGCACAAAAACATTTATGCAAATCAACGTTGACACAGATCACGAAGGAGTATATGTATCTCTCTTAGCTAATAAATACATTTAATCACATTAATGTATATGCAAAATATTTACATTTTGTCGTACTCTTGCTGTTGGTTATTTATGTGAGAATCGTACATATGTGAAAATATGAATTTAGGCGAAGTTCATTACAAAATTCAGTTCTCCGCCAAATAGGAGATGTTTGGCTATGGAACCGTTTTGTGCTTTTCATTTTATCGAGCTTATACTGTACATACATATGTAGGTACAAACATACAAACATATGTATGTATACGTGAGTGAGTGGGCTCATCTCATTAACGCTAGATGGCGCTGATTGCATAGGCAAACGATGATTCCCTTCTTACCCCTTTCTTACCAACCATGTTTAGCCGCACATGACCCGTGAATATGGAACATGGATCGAGAAAATTTGTTCGGCATTTTTGTTATTTCATTTATGAATGAGTCGACCTCATCCACAACTATGTTCAGACGCACACAAGTCGTGTATATGTATTTACATATATGTGTTTGTCCAGGTATACATGTACATAAATACATACGTATGTATGTACATACATATTCCCAATGGAGGTCGATGAAAACACCTGTCCAACTGCCCAAGCAGCGTAAGCAGCACGTACAAGCCCGGCCAAAATACGAGCAGCAACACAACAGCCAATAAATTTTTGGATGCGCGCGGAATTGGCGCAAGCGTCGTTTTCGCTAGAGATGGGCACATGGGAAGTGGAACTACGAGTGGGGATGGGTGTGGGGGAAGGGCTTTCGAGATCACTGACATATGGTTGTATGTATGTTCGGATAAGTGTAAAATGTTTGCTGTCAAGTGTCACTGCACCCTACCCTGATCAGCTATTTAAGTGTGGAAGCGGAACTCATTCGTTTTTTTCAAAATACGAATCCCCATTCTCAAAAGACTCCTGAAAGTGAGAGAGAGAGTAGCCAGAGACTAACAGAGTACCAGAGTAACAGAGTTTTTGAAATCGTCCAGAAATAAAACAGCCAAAATAAATCTCTAGTTGCCGGCTCCTCGAGCATTAGATGCACTTTCAGGTGGAACAGGTCGGACTTCGCTGTGATTTGGGGGTACAAATTTCACGCAGTTAAAGCAAGGATCAAATCAACAATAGTGTCTCTAATGTATTCCAGAACAGAAGGAAATAAGACAAATATATATACATAGTGGAAGGATACAAAATATATATCTGTATATGTACATGTCTAGATAGTTTCAAGTTCGAGAGCTTCCTGTTTCATAGACCAGATAATGGAAGACCTTGCAGTGACCATGTAGAAATGAGCGCAGATGCATTACAAATGATTTGAAATGTTACGCCCACGAACAACATTTTAGTATTAACTTTTTGGTGACACTGTTTTTTTTTTTGCTTGAACTTCTTGGACTTACGAAACTAAGCACGAATTCGGCAAGAGCCTGGGGGCTCAAAATACAGAGCCATACCCATCTCTACCTGGCGGTATTCTGCAGTAAAATACTTGGCATTCCACTCGTCTCAAAAGTCAAATAAAGGCGGCCCCGATCAGTTGGTTAAACTGCTCGAATCTATGCCCAAATCACTGATGGTAATGTTGAAATGAAAGCGCAAGTATGTGGCCCTCTGCCGGTCACGTCACGCCCAGCCCCATCCCGAGTTAAAGCCCAAAGCAGCCCCTGGTATTTATTTAGTGGCTTGACTGAGACGCCAAAAGCAGAAGCAACAACCGCCACTGACCACCATTTGACCATTTAAATGCGATCTTTGACGGAAACTTAACTCTCGCACACGCACTTCCTCCTAAAACTTGTTGACAATAAGTCAAATATGCACGGTATGTATTGAGATTCATAATTCTGGACGGAGTTTCGGCATTCTAAGTCATGTTAAACCATTGACCATTGACAGTTATATAACGTCCGACCAGGTTGGTTACCAAAAATGAATAAAACCCGCCTGGATTATGGCAATACTGGGCCAAGAAAGTAAAACACGCATACACATACTAACAATATATGTATGGCGGCATGGTAAGGGCAAAGGAAAACGAAAGAGCAGCACACAACAGCTAGATAAGCGGCTGAAGAAAACAAAACTAAAAGACAAAGACGGAACGAGCATAATGTGCGAAATTTGTAGTAACCAAAGTCAAAGTGGAAAGGGCTGCCGACACTGTGCGAGAGCTTCGAGATAGTTCGTAGGAGGTATGGTGGATGCACACTATAAATGGAGCATCCAATTCGAAGCCCTTCGGGTACTTATACTTAGACGTGTTTACGATGACTAATTTAAGGTACAATCTTGGGTGTCACAAGTCAGTAGAAATGCTAAATTACATTTACGTATGTACATACATATGTATATGTGTATGTTATCAGTTTGAATTGAAAATCTCATTAATTATAAGATGCACACCGCAATTCCACAGACCCCGACTAGGGCGATCCATATGGAGGGATACAATATTCAAATTAAATCCTGTGCGCTAAAGTTCCAGGCGTTTATGCAAATATCCCCAATTGATGCCAAAGGAAGCGAGCTGGAGCTCGCCTCCCA